ACTCCTAAGCCTCCACTTCCATTGTTTTACTGAGAAGGAAACAAGTCGTTACAGTCACGCTGCTCTGATTTATTACCCTGTTGTTTTCTCGACTTAAGTAGAAATTTCCACGGAGGCTTCTGCGTGTAGTTTAACGTGTACAGAATATATCCGCAAGGTGGAACGATCCCGCGAGCTTTAGGGAGACTCTTTAGTCTTATCTCACCGCAGGGGATTCGTTTTAGTCCGAGTTTTCAAGGAGAAGAGCAGTTTTATTATGAATGATTTGCCCCAGATGAAGTCCAGAACTTGGGGTGGTTCCTCAGGCCTCGTCAGAGGTCTCCCACGTGTGTGTGTGTGTTGTGTGTGTGTGTGTGTGTGTGTGTGTGCAGATTCTTGGGGCATCTCTGCCTCCACGAGGGGAGACAGACCAGTCCATCACGGCGCAGACAGTCCGGATTCCCCCCCCGTGCGCCATTAGAGGGTCTTCACTCGTTTTTTTTTTTTTAACCCTACCTTTATCAGCTCTCTATCTTCTAAACAGCGTCCAGTCAAAGTGCCGAGGCTTTAAGGCATCAATCACCCGGGGCTGAGCTCCACCAGGCCGGCTGAGGCCGTCTGTCCGTCCGGGGAGTTCCAGACCAGGACCAGCTCCGTCTGGAGAAAAAAGGCACGACTCCACAACAGCAAATGTTAAAAGACAAGTTGAACATAAAAACCTTTAAAAAAAAACCTTATAAGCATCAACTTGGTTGTAAAAAACACACAAAAAATAGTTAATTTGTATATCTAAACGTTTTCCTTCATGAACAATGTTCAAATTCAGATGCGCATTGTGAAATTATTTTCAGAATTTTATACATTAAACATGTTTTTTGGGTTTACCTATTGAAATGAATTGAAAAAAGTAGAAATAGAAAAAAGTTACTGCTGTATCTCTATTTAATTTTTTTTAAAAGAAAAAAGAATAAGAAAATAGCTGGAAAGTCTTCACAAACGTTTAAAAACAATTTAAAAAATCCTCAAACAATAATACCAAACTAATCAAACTTGTGCAAACTTTTATTCAACTCTTATTCTTTTTAAATGATTTATTTTCATCAGTTTTATTCTAAAATTAGGTTAATTGCACAGAAAGTAATAAGATCAGACGGATGGCCTTCACGGGTTTTGGGGCCCTTCTGATGTTTTTTTTTTTGCGTGAACTCACAAGTTCGAAGAGAGAAAGTTTCCTCTCACACGACCTATTTCTGTCAGCCCAGATGGATTCTCTCTGGATGAAAACATGGAGCCATTTCTCAGCCTAACTCGACCCCATGGCTCAGACGCTCCGCGTCAATCTCACGCGTAAAAAGCGTCTTTTTTAAATATTTTTTACTCTTTTTTTCTGCGTTACATCAGATAATTCGGGAAAGCAGAAACGGAGGAGCGTGTCGCGTGTTTTTTTCTGTGCCCCGCGTGGGCTGGAGAACCCCTCAATCCAAAGTAGCGTCCAGATAAAAAAATCCGCATTGCGCGTCTGGTGGGGGGCCAACTCCACTCCCGTGTTTAGAGGGGAGGAAAGGCCTGTTTCCTGCAGGCCCAACGCGGCTGTGGGAGAGCAGGCCCCTGTACCGGGAGGGGGGGGGGGGGCATCTGAGAGGCGTGGAGAGGTGGAGGGGGATCAGTCAGAATATTGAACTTACCTATAAATGTGTGATTAAAACTCACAAAA